AAAAAAAAAAAAATATTTGCAAATACACACTTCAAAGGAAATGAACGCCCAGAACCTATGTGTGTATGAAGAATGTATATAGGGGTTAGAGAAAGGGCTCAGCAGTTCAGAACATTAAACTGCTTACAGAGGACCAGAGTGTGACTCCCAGCACCCGCATAGCAGCTCAGAACTGTCTATAACTCTGTCCCAGGGGATCTGATGCCCTCTTCTGGCTCCCAAGGAAGTGTATGCAGGTGATGCATACACGTGTAGGCAAACCACCCACAAATGCTTTGAAAAAAAAAAGGAATATATAGAAAGAACACCTAAAACTCAAAACAGTACAGCATTGCATATAGCCCGCACACCCTCTCCTACAGTGTCATCCTTGGATGGTACATAGAACCTAGTAAAATATAGGTACCATATAAATAGTTACTATACTGAATTGTCTGGTCAATAATGACCAAAAATAATGTCTATACATTATTTCTATAAGTAAGACACATTTTTCCCCTGAAAATAAAAAAAAACAACTTTTTGGGTACTGAGGGGAACTGAGGTAGAACCCAGGGCCTTGTCTGTACTAAGCATGCACTCTGCCGTGCCTCTCTGAATTTTTTTTATTCCAAACTGGTTACATCTTTGGATATGAAATCTGTGGCTATGGGGGCCAACTATAACTCTTTTCAAATATTTCACTCATAAATAATTTTAAGAAAATAGCATTTGATAAATAAAAACAAAAAAAAGTGTGCTGTGAACATTTTAAACACACATTTGAAAACAGAAAACTCGACAGTGCAGACCAAAGGGTAGTCTACTATATCTGCATAGTCTCTACCCTATAAAAAGCTTTGTTATTTTACGGATGTGGATGTTTTGACTGTGTGTATGTCTGTGTACTGAGGGGTCCAGTGCCCTCAGAGACCAGAAGAGGCTTTGGAAATGGAGTTTCGGATGGTTGTGAGCTGCCATGTGGGTGCTGGGAATCGAACCCAGGTCCTCCGGAAGTGCAGTCAATGCTCTTAACCATTGAGCCATCTCTCCAGTCCATATTCTATAACTTTAAGCCAGTGAAAAACAACCTGTGTGGATTGACATTCCTGCCCTTGGACACTTATATTCTGTTGGTAGTGGGGGTTAAAAAGAAATAAATAATAATAAGGTATTTTGTGGGGGGGGGGGTTCTAGACAGGGTTTCTCTGTGTAGTTTTGGTACCTGTCTTGGATATTGCTCTGTAGACCAGCCTGGCCTCGAACTCACAGAGATCCTCCTGACTCTGCCTCCCAAGTGCTGGAATTAAAGGCGTGTGCCACCACGGCCTGGCTTGTGTGTGTTCTTTTTTTTAAAAAAAACTAAATACAAATGAGGTTGTTTCTGCCATGCCCTATGGTGGCTTTTGTTGCTGGAGAGCTTCTCTCCAGGTTCCCCAAGCCCCGCAGTTTCACAATCCACTTATAAAATAATCACTCAGACACTCATTACTTATAAACTGTATGGCCGTGGCAGGCTTCTTGCTAACTGTTCTTTTATCTTAAATTAACCCATTTTTATAAATCTATACCTTGCCACGTGGCTGGTGGCTTACCGGCATCTTTACATGCTGCTTGTCCTGGCGGTGGCTGCAGTGTCTCCCCCCTCAGCCTTTCACTTCCCAGAATTCTCCTCTCTCCTTGTCCCACCTACTTCCTGCCTGGCAACCTACTTCCTGCCTGGTCACTGGCCATCAGTGTTTTATTTATATAGAATGATATCCACAGCAGGCTTTGCTTGTTTTTTCAGTATTAAGACTGAGCCTGGGATGTGCTAGGCAAGGCCCACCATTAAGCTATAGCCCAGTCCTCTTTAAGCTTTTTGTTTTCCATCAAAATCTCATTAAGTTGTCCAAACCAGCCTTGAACTTGAGATAGTCATGTTTCCATTTCTGGAGTAGCTGAGATGACAGGCTTGCACCAGGCCTGACTTTTTGTTTTGTTTTGTTATTGAGTTGGGGTGTTGCTATATAGCCCAGGCTGGCCTTGAACTCATGATTCTGCCTCTGCCTCCAGAATGCTACTATTATGTGTGTAATGTGCTATGTGCTATGCCACCAAGCCTGCCTCCTTTTTTCCTTCTTTTTGAATCAGTACTGGGGATCAAACCCATGGCCTCATGTATTCTGGGCAAAGGCTTTTCCACCGGGCCATCTCCCCAGCCCCCAAATAGTACTTCCAGTGCTGACAGTGCTGGGGTGAAACTGACATCCCCAGTTAATCAACGGTACTAGGTTCATCTAACCCAAGAGAAGGCAACAGGAGGTAATAAACAGAAAGATAATTACCTCTTTGGTCTGGTAATCCCTATGCTAGCAATCTACCTAAGAAAATATTGAATAGGAAGCTGACTCTGGTGTCCCAAATACCACCCATCAATAGCATAGCCCAGGACACAGCAGAGGATAAAGTTTCAAGTGGGAGGGATGAGGTGAGGTAGAAGTGCCCTGTCCAAAGTGATCAAGTATATATTAAATTAAATCGGGTGGATAGTCATATCTTTGAGTTACTTGAGGTAGCTAAAAATTACAACGTCTCAGGCTCTATCCAATTTATATAAAAATCAGCCTCTGGCCCTGTCTTAGGGAGGGTTTCTATTGTTGTATGAAATGAAATGAAACACTGTGACCATCAACAGCTTGGGGAGGAAAGGGTTCATTTCAGATTAAAACTCTCAGGCCACACTCCATCACCGAGAGAAGTCAGGGCAGGAACTCAAGGCAGGAACCTTGGAGGCAGTGTCTGAAGCTAAGGCCTCTGGAAGAGTGCTGCTTACCACATGCTTTCATGGCTCGCTCTCTTTGCTTTCTTAGACACCACAGGACCACGTGCCTGGGATGGCATCAATCAAAAAAATGCTCTGCAGAGTTGCCTACAGGCCAGTGCCATAGAAGCATTTTCTCGATTAAGATTCCTTCCTCCCAGATGACCCTGTCTTGGGTCAGTTTGACATAAAAACAAGCCCCACAGGCCCAGAACTCCCTAAATTGTTATATTTGGCTTTCCCCGCTTTTGTCCTCAACTGTTCTGTCAGATTCTCCCCACTTAAGGTCTAGAGAGGATGACTGTGACAAAAATAAGAGACATTCTTTTGTGCCAAGTCATAGGTCACTGGTCAGCTGACGGAATTGGCTGATCTGGGGTCAGTGCTCAGCCCTGATCTTACCAGCTGTAGGTGCCTGGGCAGTAGTCCAGAATACGGTCTCCATTGCTTCCCTGCCTCTCTTCTCCTATGGGTCTGTGAACCAGAAAGTCAGCCTGGGTTACAAGGACAATCATGAAAATCTCCTGTGAATCCTTGGTGAGGGGGAAGATTATGATCCCCAAGTTTCTAGTTGATAAGAAATCAAACCCAAAGTTTAGCTTGAGTGATGGTAGAAAACTCTCAGCGAATAAGGCTGGCTTCCTGAGCCAAGAGAGAAATAAATATTCTGTGGCCAACAGCCACTGAGGCAATTAGCAAACATGACCTCCAGGGACCTGGACTTTGGCCTCCCACAAATCTCAGAAATGCTGCCTCTCCTCCTGTCAGGTTTTTAAGTAGCACTTTCCCAAATTATTTTAGCAAATTAGCAGTTTGCAATCTCACACTCCACTTCAGCGATCCACGCCAACCTCATCCTGCTCAGAGGCAGTCTTTTGGATGCAGATAGTGCAATGTGTCTTCCTGCTGAAGTCTGGCCAATGTCGTCTGGTTAACTGAGGAGAGGCCTTCTGCAGTGGAGCTGCCGGGCACAGAGAAGCTGGAATGACCAAGACGCAAGGAAAAGGAGACTCCAAGAAGAAACAAAAATGCTGTTGAGCCCTTCTGAAGCATCACAAAGCAAGCAGACATCTACAGTGTGAATGTGACATTCACTTACCCCCTGTGACCATCAAGGAAGGAAGAAGGAAGCACTTGGGGTGCAGGCCCGTTTTGCGAGACAAGGTGTCACTAGTCCTGGCTGGCCTGGAACTCACAAAACTGGCCTCATCTTGCAGCAACCCTCTTGCCTCTGTCTCTCGGGAGTGCTGGAGTTACTGCTACATGCCACCTCCACAACTAGCTATTTATGTAATTGAAATAAACAATTAAAAAAAAAAGAAGCCATGCCATTGTAGCTAATATATTTATTTATTGTAGTTATTTACTTATTTTTTATCGTATGTGTTTTACCTGCATGTATGTCTGTGCACCACTTGCATGCCTGGTGCCCTTAGATGCCAGGAAAGGATGTAACTCCCTGGAACTGGAGTTACAGACCGTTCTGAGCCACTGAGTGCATGCTGGTAGTCAAAGCTGAGGCCTCTAGAAGTTACTCTTAACCACTGAGCCATCTTTCCAGACTCATTGCCTTCTCTTAAATGGAACAAAACTGTAAACTTCCATTCCTCTGTTTCCCAAGACAGCATCCTGTGTGCAGTCATCACTCCTATCTGGGGGATGCTGTGTGAGACAGCGCAGGTGGGAGCAGTCAGTTCATTGCTGCAGAGAGAGCCTCTGGGCAGAACTCATGAGCAGTAGTCTCCCTAACGTGTTATGCACTGTGTCCATCTTACAGACAAAAAAAGCCCATCGAGAGATCACTGAGCAATTTAGATTTGAACTTGGGTGCCATATGTTGTGGAATATTATTTTAAGATGTGTTACATTTATTTATGCTGTGGAATATTTGTTTAATGATGCAAAGATGCGCTACATTCTTTTATGTTACATTTGTTTAGCTCCGTGAAGCTGTGTTACTTTGCCTGTCTAAAACACATAGTGGGTCTTGTAAAGAGCTGAACAGCCAATGGCAAGGCAGGAGTGCATGGGTGGGGCTGCCAGGCAGAGAGAATAAATAGAAGAGAAAAGGAGAAGAGGGAGAATCAAGAAGGCCAGAAAAGAAGGAGAGGAGGCTGCTAGGGCCAGCCACTCAGCCACACAGCCAGTCACCGAATAAGATAAGAAACAGAGAAAGGTAAAAGTCCAGAGGCAAAAGATAAATGGGATAATTTAAGTTAAGAAAAGCTGGCTAGAAATAAGCCAAGCTAAGGCCGGGCATTCATAAGAAAGAATAAGTCTCTGTGTGATTATTTGGGAGCTGGGTGTCGGGCCCTGCAAAGAGACAAAAGAGAAAACAAAACAAACAAAAAAACCAACTACAGCCATAAGAGACCCCCAACTACATAATCGAGTCCTCTGAAGAGCATTGCACCTTTCCATGAAGGTGCCACCAGGAGGTCCCCTGGAGGGTAGCTCTCACGATGCTCTCTTCCTCTGCAGAGACAAGGATGTACAGTGGTCCCCTGATTTCTGTCGCTGCCAGCACCTGGCCGTCATCATCCTTTCAACCGAGCTGGCTGAGCTGGCTGGTTGTTTCTTTGCCCCTGTCAAGCCTTGAAAGGGAGAAACTTTCCAGGATTCTCATGCCTTTAAGGTTTGGAGAAAACAAGGAAGACTATAGCTTCAAAAAAACAGGTAGGGTGTTTGCGTAGCATGTAGAGGCATGGATTTGATCCTCAGCACTGCATAAACTAGTGTGGTGATGCAGTGCCCATAAACCCAGGGCTCAAGAGGTAGAGGTAGAAGGATCGGAAGGTCAAGGTCATTCTTGGCTGAATAGCAAGTTCAAGCCAGCCTGGGCTAGAAACCTTGTCTCAAAAATAATAAGCCCAGGAATGGCTCACATACCTACCTTTAATGTCAACATTTGGCAAGGAGGTCCCTGAGTTTCAGCCCCACCTACCTGGTCTATATAACAAGTTCCAGGCCAGTCAGGGCTACAAGTGAAACTCTGTCTCAAAAGAAACAAAAACAAAACTCCCAGAAAAATAATAAACAAATAAGCAAAACTGAGCCTACCTCACCAGGCCAACAGTCAGTTCCTGAGAGTAGATTTATCATCCCTGGGAGACTTTCTGTCAGGACCATGTGAGCCTCCTACCAAGATCAGCAGTGGCCTCCAGCAAAAGCCACCCATAGGAGCTTCTCTGCCCTGAGCGAAGCTCCACCTTCAACTGTGTTGTTTGGAAGGTTACAGGGACGGGCCCTGGGGTTCCGAGGTCCCACCTGCTGCTACCCACCCCCCTCTATTCTAGTGGAGTTCTACAGGCCTTGGCCTACTGTCCCACAAAGCAGAGGACAATGGTCACCGGCCGGGTGGAGACTGCCAGCCCCTATCCTCTCCCCTGTCGGGTGCTCAGAACAGCTGCTTTCTCATTTGCATTCCTAGCCTCTGGCCCCATCGCCATGAGCCTCCAGATGTGAGGAGCAGCACCATCTGAATCGTTTGCAGCGATCTGGCCAGCCCCATTGCAAAACACCCTGATGGTACCCACCCAGGTTTCCCATCCAAAAGGCTTGATTTTTTTCCAAGAGAAGCTTTAATAGATTAATTAGTTCTTCGAGTCTCTCGGGGATTTGGCAAATAAACAATGTTGCATTTGTACAGACCTGAAGCATAAAAGGACCAGTGTTTCTTCACTGAAATGAGCCAACGTGACACTCACAAGGGGCAAGCCAGAGTCAAAATCAAGCGTCAAAATCAAGTGTGCCGGTGGGAGGTGAGGATGGGCTTGGAGGTGAATTCACTGCGTGGCTAATCCTCAGGCCCGTTGGGTAAAATTTGTCAGAGAACAGATGGGAACATGTCCCTGCACTGTGGGTGTGACTGATCTTTAAGAAGTTACCCTACAGGGCTGGGCTCAGAACTACCGGTATCACCTTTCTGAGAATTACAGATCTCATCGGCCTGTCAATGGGGTGAAAGTGTTTGCAATAGTATTGATTTATTTACTCAATTTGCTGAGGTTTCCACTGTATTTCATTGAGTGGTGATTTTTCTCAATAAGCTCTATTTTAGGACTAGGTGGCTTACCAAACTCCACAAATGAATTTCTGCCTTCAAAGCATTTGCCCAGGGTTGGGAGAGGGGCTGGGGAGATGATTCAGTGGTTAAGAGCACCCACATTTTGCTCCCAGCACCATGTCAGGAGGCTTATAACCACCCGTAACTCCAGTTCCAGGGGATCTGACACCCTCTTCTGGTTTCTGTGGGCACCTGCATTCACATACACAAAACTATGTATTAGTATGCACACACACACACACACACACACACACACACACACACACACACATACACCAACATAGACAACTGTAATTAATTAAAATTTTTTTCTTTATTTTGAAATTTGTGTCTTTGGCAGATTAAAAATATGGATAATAGATAAATTCAATTTTTAATCAAGAGGTCCAACATACATAACATAAATAAATGTAATAAAGTATCTGTTAACAGCACTACCTGCTCTTCCAGATATAACACAGATATAACATTCAGGAAAACACCAATGTACATAAAATAAAAGTAAATAAATAGGTTTTTAAAATATAGCTAGCAGATACACTCAAATTTTAATCAAGAGATTTTTACACACACACACACACACACAATAGTCAACATGCAGAAACCACAGTTTTGAAATTCCCCCAAGTTTATAGATGGCTTTTCTAATGAAGAAGTCATTTGAAGAGCATTCTCATCTGTCACCCATGAAGTGACATCCGTGTGCCAGAGGTCATTCCTGCATGGCCCCCAGGCCTTTCCTGCCACCCTCTGCACATTTGGGGGTTCACCGCTCACTGTCTTTCGACGTGCAGGACCTCTTCTGGGCCCGTGGTGCTTTGCAAATTCTGTTCCCTCCACCTTCCCTCCCCCAGCCCTGTTCTCGCATTGCTGTTTAAAATGCAGAAAGTAGATGGGCACTTTCAAAGCTCTCGTCTATGCCTGGCAACAAGTCTGAGGTACTGCTCCGCACAGTGATCCAGTTTGGCTGGTTCTAACCTATCAGAGAAGCAGGGCCTCTCTGGGGACTAGACCACTGAGGTAAGTGGGCCCTCTCCCTCCTCCCCTCGCCCTTCCCTCACCCTTGAGGAAGCATGGCAGGTTTTCCAAGTACCGTTCTGAGGTTCGGGTCACTGTACCTCAACAGACAGGTTTCAGTGTCCAAAAAAAAAAAAAAGAGGCTGCTAGATCATCCCAGCCCCCACTACCCTGGAAGCCCCACCCACACGAAGGTTACCTCCCCGAGAGGCACTTCAGAAGGGGCCTTGGCCTTCCTGGTTGGCACGGGAGCTTTGTTTGGCCAGTCAACTGACTAATCAGTATCTCAGTGGAAAGGCCTGGCAGCCTCATCAGCTAGCCCCAGTGAGTCTACACAGTGGGAAGCCACTCTCTGGACGGAGCAGAGGAGGTGGGGCCCTCGAAGAAAGAAATTCTTTCACAACTTCATGTTTTAAGAAATGGTATTGATGAACCAGGAAGGTAAAACTAATCCTTACTGAACACCTCCTTGTGTGTTCATTCATACACTTTGTCAGACAGGATCCTACTCTGAAGCCCAGGCTGGCCTCAAACTTACGGTGACTCTCCTGCCTCAGCCTCCTGAGTGGTGGTACTGTAAGTGTGCACCACCCCACCGAGCTTCCAATCCAGTTGATTTCATCCAGTTCCGTGCTGGCTGGGTCTAGGCAGTGAGAGCTACCTGCTTCTCTTCTTGGTTCCGAGTCTATCTCGAACCAACACAAGACAAGTGTGCTGACGTGGGATGCCCTTGCTCTGCCCACCTCCATCGTGGTGACCTCTCCAGTCACTGCCCCACTCTTGAGTCTAGAGCAGGCAATGTCATCCAGCCTTAAGAAGATGAATGTGGGACCAGTCCTCAGGGATCCCAGTGGCTCAGTACTGGTGAAATTATTAAGGCCACTCCACGTAGTTAAAAGGGAGGTTTATTTTGTGGGGTAACTTACAAGTGAAGGGATAGGTAACAGGGTCTGGGAAAGATGTAGCGCAGTCGGGAGG